TTAAACAAAAATAGTGATTGTGATGGTTTTTTTTAAAAAAAAAAATCCTTTTAAAAGGTTTTTTCTTGCAAAATGTGGCATTTAAAAGGTTTTTTTTTTACAAATTTTCCTATTATTTAATTATTATTATTATTATTGTTAAAAATTAGTAATTAGTGTTTCAGATGAAAACAATGAACCTTTGGCAAAGACTGAACTCGGTCCAAGTGATGCTAGGCCGAGGGTTTCCTGCACAGCAAACACACGTAAACTGGTCGGAAGTTCTGCCGAGGAAGGCCCCTTCGATGCCGAAGTCAGTACAGTGTTTAGAGGGAGAAAGCTATGCAAGAGTATTAATTGGTTTAGGCTATTTGTGAATGAATGCAAAGTGGGAGAAGTGAAGGCTTTTATACCTTAGCACAATTGGAGATATGGGCCATGAGCCAAGTGGGCTTGCCACGTTAGCTGGGCTGATTGACTTGACTTGGCATGGATTGGAGGATTGGACCTTTAACCTTGGGCTTGATAATTGAATCATTTATGGACTAGCCCAATTGACATAAATTGGACCCAAACAATTAGTATGATCTTTAAATATTAGTTATTATCTTTAAATATTAATTTTTATTATAAAAAATCAATTATTATTATTGTTATTAATAGTATTATTAATAATAAGTATTATTATTATTATTATTATTAATATTATTATTATTATTATTATTATTATTATTATAATTATTAAATATTAATTATTATTATAAATATTATACTCATTGCATATTAATTATTTAATATTATTATTATTTTAATTAAATATTAATTATTATAATTATTAAATATTAATTATTAATTATTTATCATCATTATCATTATATAATTTCTATTAGTATCATTATTATTGTTAAATATTAATTATTTATTATTATTAAATATTAATTATTTATTATTATTATTATTAATATTATTATTAGATATTAATTTTTAATATTATTATTATTAAATATTAATTATTTATAACTATTATTAATTATTAATTATTATTATAATAATAATTCAATATTAATAATTGTTATTATTAAATGTTAACTATTTATTATTATTAATAAATATTAATTATTATTATTATAATATTAAGTATTATTTTCAAGCATAGCAGATTGAAGCACAGCTAAGGCACAGCAAAGCAGATTGAAGCAGATCAGATTTTTGCATAGCAGAGCACATCAGATTCAGCAGCAGAGTAGCAGCTCTAAAGAACAAGGCCTAAGAATCTAATGAACCCAACATGCAAGAATGCAGTCATATTCTATGAGGCCAAGTATTATAGCTCTTCACTTGGGTTGTGGAAAAACAATATAAATGGATAGGACGATCTCATTATGACATGTTCACTAGCTTGTACCCTTTTTTCATTTTGAGAAAGCACTAGCTTACCCTTACGTGCAAAGGAAACACCATTTGATCAAATGGCAACGAATTCACAAATGAGATTTACCTTTTGTGCAGCACCACTATCTTTGGCGACAATCACTTAGCCAAAACTTAATTTGTAAATATCAACCAGGTTTTTCTAAGCTACCACCCCTAAAGACCAATAAATGGCAAGTTAGACATTATTTTCCTTGTGTAAAGCCTTGCTCTCTACACGCCTTACTTTTCATATTCGCAAGATAAAGAATTATTCAATTACTTGATGCTTTGCACCTCTATGAATTGCCTAATTCTTTTTGTTTGCTTTACGTGCCATATATGTAGGTGAGCTCATACCAATCCAATATGAAAAGTTACAGCGTAGTATTACCTCATCCCACAAATAAAAATACGCTTTCTTCCAGTGGTCCTTAGCCTTCAGTATATCAATCTCTTTCTGCAAAAAATTGGGCCCAGCATCAACACTGTGGCACACAAAAATATATCAAAAGTCGCAAAATCTGCTTTAAGTATATTAAGAGACTACAAACTAACAATTAGTCATATACCATGATACTACCGGACGAATTGGAACAGCATATGCTGCCAACCTTGGGTCTGAATAGTATTCGTCTGCTTTTGGATGGTCAGCTGTACAGATAAGATCAATTGGGAAAACACTTAGTGTCCCGACAAGTAAACTTAAGCTGAACGATTAACCTTCTGATGCACATAATGACGTGAATTAAGAAAATCACCTAAGACTATCAGCAAACCTAAGAGCAACCATCGTAATAGTAAAAAAGAAATATAATAAAGTGACGGAAAAAAAATAATAAAAATAAAAGCTTCCTGACAAAAGAAACAAGTTAAATCACTGTTACTAATGATTAAGTGAAACAGACTTCCCAGTCCTTTTTCCTTTTTTTTTTTTTTTTTTGGGGGGGGGGGGGGGGGGGGGGGGGTTGGCTGCAATACCAAAACGCTGCAATTTGCAGTTGACTGCTTTAAGCCAGCACCACTGAAGCTAGTAATTTAACCATGATCCACTTCAGCAACCAATACATCTGAACAGAAAATTCCCCTTTACAACTGAAGATTTAATTCTTCTTGATTATAAATTCAACAGATAAACAGACCCGCGTCAGACGAAGGTCAAATAAGCCATATTTATTAGTGCCAGAAATAAGAAAATTCAAACGTACATGGTCATCAATATCCCCAGAAGTTTTTAGCTTTTTCTTAGGCACTTGCTAAATTGGACTTTTAGTACATCTATACATATTTTAACAAAAATAGTCCAAATATGCTCCCAAAACCAAAACCGACATCCAAACGCTATATGAATCCTCATTCAATATCTAGTACCAAGTCAGATCATTGACACTATGACATGGGTATGAACAATTGACACTTCTCTAGAACAAAAATATGTATTTGATATAATTAAAAAGTGTGAAACTTGGACGCAACAATGTGTGACAAGAGTACTCAAATCCAAGTAACATACCGCATATCAACCTCACAATTCAACTGTGACCCAATTGCTAATATTGCGAAGTGTATACATTTCAGAATAAAAAGAATCACGATGAGTATTTATTTCAGTGGTCAGAGGACTATAGGAGCTTGACTAAATTAAGTACCTGGCCACGGACATGTGTAAGTCAGAACACGCATGCCATCACCCCATCTACAGAAATATGGGCTAATTTTATACTGAAGTAGCCATTTAAAATGCTGATCCAACGCCTCAAACCACTCATTACTTCCATGTTCCACGCCAAATCGATCCTCAATTACTGTATCTGATATCTGGGAATAAAGTCAAAGAAACACATACAAGTACACACCTACAACTCTTGGCACAGAGTCAATCAAAAGTCATGGCATGGTCACATCAGAAAAGGTACATTGTATATAAGGATCACAAAACAACTTAAAAAAACGGCTATTTACACCCTAATTCAGTATTAGTGCAACATAAAAGATAACAACGGAAAGGACAGCATTTTATCAGTCCTACCATGCTACCCAATCAGAAGACTTATAACATTAAACTATCCAAGCTGATTAGAACAGTCTATCATGTGACCACATTTACATGTCCTACGCTAAATAAAGTGCAGTGCATTAAGTTTGCAAATGTAAAATGTTTGTTTCTCAAGAAAAACTTTGAATGAGATCCTGCGTACTAATAATACTCTTTCTTAAGATGGATTCAAATCCAAGGTTTTAATTATTTTCATTATTAGACATCAAAGGGGTTCAACACTAAACAAAAGGAGGGCTAAGGAGCAAATAACTCTGCCCTCAAGATACAATGCAACATTTAATCTACAAAATCAGCAAATGTCAAGTGTCCCTCAAAAATTTACATTTACTCTGGCTATACAGTAATATCAAAGCTCTACCTATATACACATAAAAATTTGAAGCGAAAAAGCTCTACCTAAAAAGACTGCAGGTGTATGAAAGCATGATCAATTTTGTCTTCAACACAAACAATAAACACATTGGATTCCCTGATACTAGTACATGGTCATAGTGATAGTTACTCACTTTAATCCTCCAATAATATAAAGCCATTCAAGCACCTAATCACACTTAGGGGTCGTTTAGTTCGTCAAACTGGAATGGTTGGTATTGGATCTCATACTAGGGAGGTATGGATTCTAAACCCCATACTAGTCTAAACTTGTTAAGTTTATTTGTTGAAATGGTTTTTACATTTAATTTAAAGGAATGGATTGTGAATCTTAGGGGGTGAGGTGGGTATGGATTCTAGAGGAATGGGGTGGAGCTAGAACCCTCTTAGTATGAGATTACATGCCAATAACGCCTAACCAAACAATAAAATGGATGGAATGGACACTAAGTCCATTCCAATCCCTTTCAAAAGATCCAACGAAATGAGTGAAACGACCCCATAGAGTAGTTGAATTGCCCTTTCCATCAGCACATCTTTATTTCTTTCCTTCTCTTCTTTCAGATATGGGTCTTACCTTTCCATTTTTCCTGTCTTAAAATACTCCATTAAACAAATCATACAATCCAAATAACTATATTTTATAGTCTGCTGATCAGTGTATATATCAGGCTCTGTCAAACACTCAGACCACCAGATATGGTTAGCTCAGAATTGGGAACTACTGTTTACTCCAGAGGTAGATTATAATGTATAGGATTCTCATAGGTGGAAGAAGTATCGTTATTCTGTAGTGGGTTAAAACATCACAAGTAGAACAGTTAGAAAACTATGAAAAACACGTAAAAACAGGGAAGCAGATCGATAAAGGGGAAGATAAATAATATAGCCTATGGTACACTCTCATATTTTAAAAATAGGATGTTCGCCACATGGGGGTAAATGAGTAAATAACTTCAACTAGGTACCCTAAGGGCAGTGGCGGACCTACACGTGTGCACACTGGGTCACGTGACTCAGCAGTGCCCAAAAAAAAATTTAAAAAAAAAAAAAAAACAAGAAAAAACAAAAAAACAAGAAAGAACGGCAAAGGCCCAAAACGCGTGAAAGAAAGAATGGAAACCTCACAACCCTAAATCCCTGTCTCGCATTCGCCGCTACTTCGCCGGAGCAGCCTACCTTCAGTCTTCACACGTTCAGTTCGTCGTTCAAACAACAGTTCATTCGTTCGTCGTTCATCCCTAATGCCCGACTGGACTGTTGTCCTTCAACTCTTCAAGCCTGCCCGCCGCCCTCGCCCCTCGGAATCTCATATCTACGCCAGTAACGCCACCGAGCAGCTGTCTGTCTAGCACGGACCACCGATTGAAGGATTTGAAAGGCAACTGACCAAGCAGCAAGGTATTTACACCGTTTAATTTGTTTTGTAAATTATAAATTTGTATAATTTTAGTCATTTGATTGATTAAATTGAACTGAATTGTTGATTTGTTGTTCATTTTTGTGTTAATTACTTAATTAATTATAATTTCAGTTATTTATAAATTATAATTTCATAGTCTTGAAAATTTGAAATTGACAGAATGACAGGTTATTGCTTGTTGTAAATCTTGTAATGTTGTTCATTGTGGACTTGTGGTGTGGATTTGTGGTGTTGAAATGAAGAATTGTTGATTAGGTAGTCATTTGATTCAGATTTGATTGATATTTGAATGTATTATGTGTATTCAAATGAACTGAAATTGTGTAATGTGTATATATGATTGTATAAATGAATTGCTGATTTTTTTTGTAATTGCTTATTTGCTTAAATGATTTTCAAAATGAAGCGGAAACGTACTCCAAATAAAATGCAGAATATCGCTAGTTTCTTTGCTAAATGTAATCCTCATCCTCCTAGTCAACAAAATTCTTCTCCAAATGAACAAATTTCCACTCCACATCATACTAGTGAACAACATACCTCTCCCACACACAATTCACCTCAAATTTCCCCTCAAAGATCACCTCATAATTCCACTCACAACTCCCCTCAAAATTCCACTCACAACTCCCCTCAAAATGAAGTGGAACACTCTTAATGCTTCGGGAGATGGTGTTAGATGAAGTGAAAATGATCTTGCCAATCTTCCTCACGACCCGGGATTGAGAAGAAAGATAAGTGATTTCCATCCTGATGATAGAGACTTAGTGAGGAGAACTTACATTCAAAAAGGGCCATGCCAACCTAAAAACCATGTATTTCCTCAAAGACTCATTGCCCCTAAAAAACGTCGATTTTGTGTGAAGTGGTTTGAAACTTGGGGTTCTTGGCTTGAATATAGTGTGGAAAAGGATGCTGCCTATTGTTTCATTTGTTACTTATTCAAGGATGAAAATGCATTTGGAGGTGATGCATTGGTTACTAATGGTTTTCGATCTTGGAATAGATTAGACATACTAAAAGCTCATGTTGGTAAGCACATGAGTGCTCACAACAATGCCGTGTTAGCTATGGATCTGTTCAAGAAACAAAAAGCATCACCACTGCATTTTCAAAACAAAGCAAGGAGTCTATGAGTAACTATAGGAAGCGATTGGAAGCATCAATTATTTCTGTACAATGGCTTTTAGTTGGAGCATTGCCTTTTCGAGCTCACGATGAAAAAGAAACTTCTTCAAACAGAGGTAATTTTCTCAGACTTTTGACTCTTGTTTCAGAACTACATCCTAATTATTCAAAAGTTTGTTTGAAAAATGCTCATGGTAATTGTCAACTTACTTCTCTGGTTGTTCAAAAAGACATCATAAATGCATGTGCAAAAGAAACTACTAAAGCAATACTTGAAGATCTTAATGGTGGTTTTTTTGCTATTCTTGCTGATGAGTCGGCTGATATTTCTGATAAGGAACAACTGCCTCTTTGTTTGAGATATGTAAATAAAGAAGGAGAGGTGTGTGAACGTTTACTTGGTATTGTGCATGTTGGGGATACAACTTCTTTAACTCTTAAGGCTGCTATTGAGTCATTATTAATTCAACATTCTTTGTCTTTCTCTCAAGTAAGGGGTCAGGGTTATGATGGGGCTAGTAATATGCAAGGTTCAATTAATGGCCTTAGAACCTTAATAGAGAAAGAATGTAAACAAGCATACTTTGTTCATTGCTTTGCTCACCAGTTGACTCAAATTGCACTTGCTAGAAAGAATCTTGATTGTGCTTGGCTCTTTAGTGACATGCTTGCTCCTCTCTTGAATTTTGTGGGTTGCTCACCAAAGAGGAAAGAATTTCTTCGTGAAAAAAAGCTCAAGCAATTGTTGATGCATTATCCCTAGGTGAACTTGAAACGGGTTCGGGTTTAAATTAAGAACGGGGGTTAGGAAGACCTTGTGACACCCGTTGGGGTTCCCACTTTAAAACACTTGTAAATGTTCTTGATATATTTCCTTCGCTCACTTGATGACATTGCTAAAGCTGAAATCTATGGCAGATGATTTTAACAGAGCACAAAGTATTATTGGTTGGTTAATGACTTTTGATTTTGTGTTTGTGGCTCACTTAATGGTTACTATATTTGCACTTACTGAGCAACCAAATATGAGATTGAGGTTCCATATATGAATGCGACATATGTTGTTCCCGAGAGAAGGATGTTTAGAGGTAAGCGTCCGGGAGTGTCAAATCTTCATCATTTTCGAGTTGAGGTGTTTATAAGTGTCATTGATCTTCAGTTACAAGAGCTTGAAAATCGATTTCCCGAGATAAGTAAAGAACTTCTTGTGTGTATGTCTTGTTTAGTCCAGTTAATCGGTTCTCTTCTTTTGACAAAGTTAAATTGACCAAGCTAGCAACATTCTATCCAAATGAATTTTCAAGCTCGGAATTGATTTACTTTGAACATACACTTCAAAATTACTTTGTGGCCGTTGGAGATGATGAAAGGTTTTGGAATTTGAAGAGTCTTAGTGAATTGTCAAAGAAACTCGTTGAGATGGGATTGTCCGAAACTCATAGTAGAGTATACTTGCTTTTGAAGTTGGTGTTGGTTCTCCCCGTTGCAACGGAAAGAGTGTTTTCTGGTATGACGATCGTGAAAGATAAATTGCGTAATAGCATGGGAGATCAAATGTTGAATGATTGTTTGATTACTTTTCTAAAAAGTGATTTGTTTTCGAATGTTAAAATAGATCACATTATTAATCGATATCAAAATATGAAAACTCGCCGTGAACAATTGTAATAGTTTATTGTACTATGTGATTGTAATATATTATTTGTAGTACTTTTAGTTTGTAAGATGAATTTTTTAGGTACTATTTGGTTGTAGTATGGATGATTTTTGTTTGATTGAATGATTGAAATGAAGGTGGTTGTCATATATATATTTTTGTTAGTATTTTTGGATTCGAATTTTTTTTTTTCTTTAACAGGTGATCAATTATTCAGGGTGACTCACAAGGACGGAAATCCTGGATCCGCCACTGCCTAAGGCTCAACCTATATACACATAGGAAGCCTCACACTTTGCAAATAACACTATGGTGGCCCACTTTGAAAAATCTTCTAGTAAAACAGTTTTTTGGAGAATATTCTAAGTACCTACAATATTATAGAAAAAATTGAATGCCCTTAAATAAAAAGGAGTTAGTCCATCCCTTCATATAACAAAGATAGAATATGTCCTTTTGGAATAAAAGAAATCTCTTTTATATAGTATGCATTTATCATTCAAAAAACACTGAGAAGATATATCAAATATCTTTGAAGGGGTTGTCACCCATGACAGAATGAAGGTTAAGGGCCAAAAATCATACCCTCAAAATATCATGAAGTATTCTATCCGCAAAAATCAGAATAAGTAGAGCAATGCTCAAAGCATGATACTTGACTCCAGCTATACACAAATCTTAGATAAAAGAAGTTGAGACCATGACACATCTTCACAAGAGCACCGCCAAATTCTTGTAAATGAAAAGATAAAATTGTCCTTATGTACTAATTGGCTCCAATTGGATAACTATTAAACTTGTCCTTTATGGATTATTTAATTTGTTAATAATAATGCATCCTATAACAAGGAAATTTGGTATTCTGTTAATGATCCAAACTAATCAAAGTATAATTCTAGATTGTATTATACTAATATCAATGGGGTTGAGAACATTTCAATTTTCAATAGTGAAATAGCATTTAAATTCTTGCTACATACTTCCTCAATTCTTTTTTAATTACAAAGTTAGGGTTTTCATGCTTTCCAATGCACATTTTGTACCATTATTATCCTTAATTACTTAAGTAAAAATTAATAAAAGTTAAAGATTATGTATCAAAACAAATGACAAGACCCTACATGACTATGTTTTTCCTAACGCTTAACTCAAAAAAGGGTCAAAGGATTTTGTGTAAATAGTGTAGATTTCCCAACGTTGCAATCAAAAAAGAACTGAGAAAGTACATACTTCGTATTTTCTTGGTGTGAAATTGGAAAGGACAACATTAAGCTTTATAACTTAATATGGGTTATATTAGTAATTTTCAATTTTTAGCAAGGTATATTTATTTTCCTTTGCCAGATATAAGAGCAGTAATACATTCACAATAAGTCATCTACATGTAATTTAATCACTCTTTTGAATCAAAAAAACAAAAAAAAAAAAAAAAAAAAAAAAAAAAAAAAAAAACCAAAGTAATTTATCAAACTTTTAGCTTACCTCAATTTAAATATAGCAAACCTCAGGGCACAGTCAACAGAAATAAAATAAACACACAATTATTTGAATGAACCCAAAGAATATTGAGATAAGGATACACCGATTGCAGCAGGTAGTGAAGGTGTAGCAGGAAGCACGAAGTCCCACACTGTCAAGCTGAGTTTTACACAAATAGAACGATTAGAAATGGCATCTTCGTCCTTCGACTCGACAGCACCATTATCTGACAAGCACTCTGAAAAGGATGGGGACAGTAGAGCACGTCTCAGATTTGATGTAGCAGATTTTACTCTGTCAACCTATAAAACCAAATAGGCACATAAATACTCCAGAAAAAGCCAAATGTTCTGTAACAGAGCATTAAACAGGAATAACATCATAAAGTATCCACACCACTTTATCCATTGAATTCTGATCGACTAGTTCCATAAGCTCAAGACAGTCCCTCAAATCTCTGAATAGTTGATGCTTTTCAGCCTTGCCCATGCATGGTGGTCTAGATCTGTCATAACATTACTCAGAATAAACCATTGTACGCAGATGAAAAAAACTACACTGCTAGTACAAAAACAACCTATTAATATCAAGACCACAGCAGTAAATAAATTTAAGCCAGCACTAGGTTCTGTATTATAATTATGATATTACAAAAAAAAAAAAAAAAAAAAGTTTAACTGAGTGAGGGAGGATAGATTATCACGGTGCATCAGCTTTTACAGCAGTGATGTATAACTGTCCCTCATAAATGCCAGGAGGTTGATCACTTGATACATCAATGGAAACCCATAATGCTGTTGTTTCTCTGCAACGACGATAAAAATTTGCCTCAGAAAGCTCAAATGCAATCCAGAATTCTCACATACAGTCTATCAGAAGATATACCCAGGAAATAGGTTTATCTGAGAGCAAGGCAGGTCAAGAGGTACAAGTGCATCTGGAACCCCTAAAATGGGCACAACCCGTTGAATCTTTAGGGACTGACCAATAACCAACCTGGACACAGAAAAAACCTACATCATAGTCACATTTTTCGTCTTTGAATCAGCCATCATGGTATAACAGTTTTTTGTTTCCTTCAATTCGAAGAGTAAAAAAAGATTATGAACAATAGCTCCCCCCCCCCACCCCAACCAAGTTGACGCGTTTGATTTAGGCACGTATATTAAGGAGAGGAGAGAGAGTGAGAGAGAATGAAAAAGCAAGTGGGGTAGCTTGTAAATACAAGGTAAAAAAGTTACCCTAAAAGGAAACGTGATAACTAAAAAACAACATCCTAAAAAGGAATACGTGTCAACTAAAAAGAAACGGAGGTAGTATAAAAAAATAATAAATAAAATTACAAATTAAAAAAAAAAAATTAAAACCCATGGTTAAGCGCAAAAACTAACCGGTCTCCTGAAGCAGATATAAGGTCATTACCCTGCACTTGTACAGTTCCAGCTATACCACAACCACCCCAAGTAACTTTTGGGCGTAAAGCTACTTGAACACTTTCTCGCTCATTTCTAGCAGCCAACAGATTTACCTGCATGACAGGAATGATTTTAGAGTAAGCAGCATATAAAGGAAACTGGTAAGCTTTGCAACCAACCCCCCTTTCAATGATGTGACTTGCCAGGAACGACATGTTGTGGTTGTCAGAAACAATGTCAACAAAGATATAAGCCACTCCAGTACACAAACTAGAAGAGATACACTTAAAGGATGGTACAATAATACACTTTAACACCCCAAGGAAAGTTCTGAATACCAGCAATAAAAGCAAATTGACTACTCTCTCTTTCTCTGTTTTTTTTTTTTTTTTTTTTTTGAGAGAGAGAAAATCAACATCAAGACAAGAACATTAAGAGACGGAAGGGGAGTACTTTAAAGTCTTATACCAAGCTGATATAACAATGGATGAGATTTCATTCAGATTCAATTATTGATCCACTTAACTCTGTGAACTAGAATTGGAAACATGCAAATTGATGCATGGTACATGATGCACAAGAACACTTGTGGAATATGTGGACTTTCTGAGCAATTTAACATCACTACTGTGAATCAGATAGCTTTACCCAGGCCATGTAATGGTAGGTATCTAAACAGAGTTAAGAGACTGCTTGTCCAAAATTTAGCAGTCATAATGAACAAATCACCTAAACAAACTGCTCAAACATAAAAAAATGGGCTAGAGAATAAACTGCTGCTAATACACAGAATAATCAGTAAAAAAATTCAAAGTGAACTGTCATGACAATCTGAGTTTATACTGAAAGTATAGAAAGATTCTTACAACATGTTCCTCAAACATCAGATATCGTATTTCATTGTTGTAATTAGAGATTTTAAATTTTATTGTAGAAAATAACTTAAAATGTACTCCCTCCATCCCAAACTAATTGCCACATACAAGTACGCTTTTTCAAGGTCAAATTTCACAAACACTGACCTTAAATTTTCATCAATACATAAGAAGAAAATAAAAATAAATAAATAAATAAATAAAACATTCATGAGGAACTTGTTAGATTCATCTTAATGCGTATCTTCTAAATATCAACTTTAGATAGGAGTATTTTATTTTCCAATTCCCAATTAGAGATTTTAGTGCTCAAAATTGTGCCTTGGAGATTGAAAAGGCTGTTTATGGAAACTAATTTGGAATAGAGGGAAAGCTAATTACAATATTCTTTCAATACAGATTATATGGACCCTCCATGCAGGTCATATATCCAATATCAAACACCAAAATGTATCCAAGTATCTAACACATTCCAAACACGCCACATACCATAGCACTGTTTGATATTTCTACGTACACCTAATGAGGAACATTCCAGACATCACAAATCATGTTGCTGCCAAAATTTTAAAATAAAAGAGAAAGTGGTCAAATAAAGAAAACCAAATCAGCCATCATAAAATATGCCAGCAAAAGTTGAATAAGATGCTTATTGAGGTCATTACTATCATCAACTTGTGTTACTTAAGAATAACACACCATCAATCACCTTTCAAATGTTTACAATACAATTGAGATCGTACATTCTTACAAAATAGTCAATCAACAGAAACTAAGAATAACAAAAAAAGAGAACTTTTTTAAGACTTGATTTTCTATTAATCCAATTCTAAGACTCGTATGAACTTTTGATATCCATAAACTTTTACCCACCTCCTTGATGTTACGTTTATATTCATGTCCAAACTAATATACAATAAGCAGGCCAACAGCTAACCTGCTACACTTCAATAAATACATGTTACTGTAGAAATTGACCTAGCCTGAAAACCTCAACCCTGATGGTCTAGGTAAAACATACCTCACTTTGCCCCTAGGGCTCTAACCACCAATACTACAGTGAAAGGTCTGAGGTCTTGATCACACTAAGTTCATCAAGAATATCCAAGAGTATGCGTCAAATATAAATAAGATACAAAAAACATACTGGCTCCAAATGTCTAGGCATCTCCTGTGACCCGACATTGGCGGTACTAGGCATGCACCAAACATTCAGTAATTCAGAAGATGGAACTTCTAAAGGATCAATGTCCCCTTTCATCACATTTGGAAGATGAGAACCGGCATCACTCCATCCATACGACGTCCCTCCGTGTTGATAAGTATTAGGTGACTCGTACTTCGTAGCTTTGTCCGCCCGATCGGGCGGACATTGCCCGGTCTGACCGGGCGGTGGGGGTTGGATACGTTGAAGCATTCGTATGGAGTTTTCTTCTCGCGCCCGATCGGGCAGACCTTGCCCGGTCTGACCGGGCGGAGAAGGAAAAATGCGGAGACGCGGATTTTACGATTTAAAGTTATCTTTTATGTTATCTTTTTGCCCAAGTATCTTTTATTTTAGGGATTAATATAAAACCTCCCTAATATTAGTATAAGGGTTAAGAGAGAGAGAGGAGAGCCGTTCTTGAGAAATACAAGAATCATCTTTGTAATCTTTGCAGTTTATAGTGAAATCATTCGATCTCGGTGCCCGTGGACGTAGCTATCACATCGATAGTGAACCACGTAAATTCTTGGTGTTGTTCTTATTGTTTGCATTGAATTTCTTTATTGTTTTCTTGTTTGTTTTAGACCTTTGCTTCCGCTGTCGCACAACAATTGGTATCAAGAGCTCAGGTTCAATCCTTGGAGAGTTTCTTGAAGATAACAATGGCAGGAGATTCAACAATAAGAATTGAGAAGTTTACCGGGAAAAATAGTTTCGGGCTATGGCAAATTAAGATGAAGGCTCTGTTAAAACAACAGCAGATATGGCGTCCGTTGGCTCCAAAGAGTACTACTTCGGAGTCAGGAGACGGACCGACTGACTCGCAGTTAGAAGTTATGGAAGAGAAGGCACACTCTACCATATTACTTAGTCTTGATGATCAAATCATCACGGAGGTTGCTGATCAGGAAACGGCGGCTGGATTGTGGCTGAAGCTGGAGTCATTGTATATGACTAAGTCGTTGACCAACAAATTATTACTGAAACAGCGGTTGTTTAGCCTCCGGATGCAGTCAGGTACTTCCTTACGGGAACATCTAGAAAAACTTAACTCTATTTTGCTTGATTTACGTAATTTAGATGTTAAAATTGATGATGAGGATGCTGCGTTGATTTTACTTGTATCTCTACCGTCTAGCTTTGAGAATTTTGTAGAGTCTTTTGTTGTTGGTAAGGATTCTATAACCTTAGAAGAAGTGAAGGCAGCACTTCATACTAGGGAACTCAGAATGAAAGCTACGAGTGATAATGGGGATAATGGTAGTGGGTTATTTGTTAAGTCCGGAAAGTCTAAAAAGAATAAGGGGTTTAACAAGGGGAACAATGCTGGGTCGGGTGCTGGAAACGGCAAGGATGGATCTAGTAAAACTACTACTAAAACATGTTATTACTGTAAAGAACCGGGTCACTTTAGGAATAATTGTCCGGTGAGGAAAAACAAGTCCCAGGCTGCTGTAGTTGAAGAGAAACCGAATGAGAGCTATAATTCAGAGGAAGATTTAGCATTAGTCAGTTCTGCTAGGTCTGATGATTTATCTGATAACTGGGTTCTAGATTCGGGGTGTTCGTTCCATATGTGTCCACGTCGAGATTGG